TTTGATTGTGTGGATCATAACAAATTATGGATAACATTGAGAAGAATGTGAATTCCAGAGTTCTTGATTGCACTCATGAGGAACCTGTACATAGATTGAAAGGTTGTCATTTGAACAGAATAAGGGGATACTGAGTGGTTTAAAATCAAGAGAGGAGAGCATCAGGGTTGTATCCTTTCACCAAATTTATTCAATCTATCTGCTGAGCAACTAATCCGAGAAGCTGGACTATATGGAGAAGAACATGGCATAAAGATTGGAGGAAGAGTCATTAACAACCTATGATATGCAGATGACACAACCTTGCTTTCTGCAAATGAAGATGATTTGAAGCACTTACTGATGAAGATTGAAGACTACAGTCATCAGTATGGATTACACCTCAATATAAAGCAAACCAAAATCCTCACAACTGGACCAAAAAGCAGCATCATGATAAATGGAGAAAAGATTGAAATTGACAGATTACCTATTTCTTGGTTCCATAATCAACATCAATGGGAGCAAAACCAAAACTAACCCACTGCCATGGAATTGGATCTGACTCGTAGTGACCCCTCCTTGGGTTTCCGAGGCGGTATCACTATAGAAGTAGATTGCCCAACCTTCCTTCTGAGGAGTGGCTGGTGGGTTTGAACCGCCAGCCTTCAAGTTAGCAGCCAAATGCCTTAGACACTATGCCACCAGAGCAGCAGTCAAGAGGTCAGACCACCTATAGCACTGGGAAAATCTGCTGCAAAAGACCTCTTTAAAGTACTGAAGATCAAGGATGTCTCTTTGAAGACTAAGGTGCACCTAACCCAAGCCATGGTGTTTTCAATAGCCTCATATGCATGTGAAAGTTGGACAATGAATAAGGAAGACAGAAGAGGAATTGATTCATTTGAATTATGGTGTTGGTGAAGAATATTTCCAGAAGAACAAACAGATCTGTCTTGGAAGAAGTATAGCTGGGATATTCCTTGCCAGCCAAAATGGCCAGACTCTGTCTCACCTTCTTTGGTCATGTTGTCAGAAGAGACAATTCTCTGGGGAAGGATATATTGTTGTTGTTATGTTATGTGCCGTCGAGTTGGCCCTGACTCATAGCGACCCCTCCTTGGGTTTCCGAGGCAGTATTGCCTGGTAAAGTGGAAGGTCAGCGAAAAAGAGGAAGGCCCTCAACAAGATGGATTGACACAGTGGCTGCAGTGATGGGCTCAGGGATAGCAAGGATTATGAGGTTGGCACAGGACCAGGCAGTGTTTTGTTCTGTTACACACAGGGTTGTTTTGAGTCAGAGCCCACTCGACAGCACTCAACAACAACAGCAGCATTTTTGAGAGCAAGAGAAACAAGTCACACACAATAGTGGTTGCAGTAAGTTTTTATTTACTGAATGCCTACTACATGTCTAATATAGCTCAAGCCTTCACCTTTACTATTTCTCAGGTATTTTTCAAATTATCCCAAGGGAGTAGGTATTTTTATCAGCATTTTAGATTAAAAAGAAAAAGTGGCAATGGAGATTCAGCAGGTCCAAGTGACTTGTTCTGAATTGCATAGTGAATTTGAACTCCAGAATCTGTATTTTTCTAGTGTGCTATATTATTTTCATTTTTTTTCCCCCTCAGCAATCAGGTAGGTGCTTTTGCTGTTATGTAGGAAGACGGATACAGAGAGAGAAGATTTGAAGGAAGAGAGTTAGTTTTGTTCCAGAAATGCTAAGTGAGGGCAAATAAGGTAGGTTGATTGAAATATCTCTCCTTTGAGATCTTATTATTGAGTTTTAGAAGTGCTAGATGCTAAGAGAGTGAAGGAAACCAAAGACTCAAGGAAGCAATCAGTCCACAGGACTAACGGCCTACAGGAACCACAGCCTCCTCTAGCCAGAAGAACTAGATGGTGCCTGGCTACCTCAACCAAACCCTACTGACTGCTTTGATTAGGATCACAGTAGAAGGTCCTGGATAAAATGGGAGAAAAATGTAGAACAAAATTAAATTTCACAGAAAAAAAAAAAAAAAAATTACCAGGTGTATTGGACAGGTAGAGACTGGAGGAACCTCTGAGACTTTCACTTTAAAACACGAAGTTGGAGGCTCCTCCAAGAGTTCACCTTTCAACCAAATGATAGAGTGGCCTATAAAATAAACAGTAGCATCCATGAGTAATGTTCCCTTGAAACAATCAACTATATGAAACTACACTGGCAACATTTGCCCAAAAGCTGAGATGAGAAAGCAGGGAGGGGCAGGGAAACTGGAGGGATGGAACTGAGGAATGCAGGGAGGAAGTGGGGAGAGTGCTGACACTTTGCCGGGAAACAATCAATGCCGTGGAACAATTTGTGTATAACTTGGTGAATGGGAAACTAATGTGTTGTGTGAACTTTCACTTAAAACACAGTAAAACTTTATTTCAAGAAAAAAAAAAAAAGGCATGAGTGCTTCCCTAGAGACTGGAGAGTTCAAAGGGGGGATGGTAGACCCAGCTGTGGGCATCTCCCGCCCCCTAGTGGCTAATTTAGGAAAATGCCCTTAAGAATATAGTCACTGTGGGTACTTTTAGGAGCTCTGGTGGCCTAGTCATTTAACCTTTGAAGAGGGAAGAATTCACAAAATGAGCATATTTAGGGTCTTTAAGGAAAGCAATAAATGAATGAGAGTAACTAGCTATTCTTCACCGAAAGCAGAACTAAATTACATAAACTAAGACTGCTGCAAGAGGTAAGAGTTTATTTGAATTAAAAATAATACTATCTGGGTTTGGAGTTAAAGGCCTTTTGTTTGAGACTTTGCTTTTCTCCTTGCTAGCTGTCAGAGCTCAGACCTACAACATGCAAGGTACTGTGAGAACCAAGTTTGAAAGACTCCAGACACCTCAATTTTTTTCTTTCTTCTATTTTTTTTTCAGGTTAACTTTGTTTATACTACATCTGCCTTCTCCAAATTTTACAAGCAGTGTGTCGTTTCAGATGTCAGGTAATTTATGTCTCTTGCTTTGGAATGTCTATATTTACTGCTGTAAATTTCTCTAAAGACTGTGGAAGGGCTGAGATTCCACCATTCTCAAGTAACTTCTTGCTGGTGGTTGTGGATTAATACCCCATAAACACACAACTAGTGCCTTGAATGTCTGCTCTCTTGTCACTTTGAAATTTTCCTCTCCACCTACCAAAATTTCTGCCCTCTCCCCATGCTGGAATTTTGGACCCCATAGTAGTGCCACTGGGCAAAATGCCTATCATTGTGGCTGCCATATTGGATTGGCTTGCAAGGGAAGCAACCAAGGCACAGACCAGTATTATACAAAGTCTTTTCAGTGACAAACTTGCCACTAGAGATCTGCTGGGGGAAAAATGTATCTCATGGCCGAATAATTTTTAGAAAAAAACTGCACTATGCACCATACCACTCCTTCCCTCCTCCCATACATCTGCAGAGATTCTTAATCTGCTTTGGCATAATAAAGCCACTGAAAAGTCTTGGAGTAAAGTACTTGCTTACTTTCCTTAACCTTCCATTTCCTGAATTATTCACTACAGAACACTAACTTATGTTTTTTTTCATTAAGTGTGTCAGTGTTTGTGTGGTTAGGAACTCAGGCTCTGGAATCAGAACTGAAAAGCATATTGGACTTGAATCCTGAGTTTGCTTCTTACCAGATGTGTGATTTTGAGTTGTCAGAACTAAAAACTGCCAGCCTTCTGGTTAGTAGTCAAACACCTTAGGCACTATGCCACCAGAGACAGTTTCAATTTCCTCTTTTGCAAAATTGGAATGATAATAATAGCACCTTCTCCATAGAGGAGTTCCTGAATTGTGCAAATGGTTAATACGTTTGGCTGCTAACTGAAAGATCAGCCCAGAGTCCCCTCAAAAGAAAGCCCTGCCTATCTACTTTTGAAAAATCAGACATTGAAAACTCTATACAGCACAGTTCAACTTTGACACATATGGGGTCACCATGAGTCAGAATCACCTCGACAGCAACTAGTTGGTTCTTCGTAAGATTAAATGGGGTAAAAGAGATGTAGCACAGTGCCTGGAATAGTGAGGTATCAAAAATAACTGCTGTTATTTGTAATAATAGTGAATACTGATCCATATCCATAGAAATAGTATATTCTTCATGGAGATGTAACTCTAGAGTAATAGTTCTAGATATGAACCCCACACAATAACTGAATGTATACACAACATGATGCTTTTCCTTTCCAACCCCCTATGAAGAGTCAGTGACTTCCTAAAGAAGGGAGTTAGGTTCAACTTTATGATACACTCACCCGCCTTACCTTGAATCTGGCAGTCAAATGCCTTAGGCACTATGCCACCCAAGGCAGTGAGCTTATAGCCTCCCTGTGAAAGTCTACTTCCTAAGAGCTATTGCTCAATGTCTTTGTTTTTGTTTAATTACAGCAGCAACAACAAAGGCGGCCTCCTTGTCCAGTTTTGGATTGTGTTTGTCATGCCACATGCCAAGGGCCATATCTTCTGTGAGGACTGTGTGGCAGCCATCTTGAAGGACTCCATCCAAACCAGCATCATAAACCGGACCTCTGTGGGGAGCTTGCAGGGTCTGGCTGTGGACATGGACTCTGTGGTATTAAATGGTGATTGTTGGGTAATTCTTTTTTAAGTATTCCTTCCTGCAGTATTCTTTTTTTTAAAAAAATTATATCTTAAAATTTAAATGCCACTGTGTTGATCACTTACATTTGGTACATTGCTCTTCTCTTCACCCAAGTCAATACTTGTCTCTACCTATGTAACAGTGTTCCCTACTCTCCCCCTCCCCCCCATAACCAACAAAGAAAATTTTCTTCCATATATAAACCTTTCCTTAACTTTTATAGTAACAGACTAATACAATATCTGTCCTTCTGTGATTGACTTATTTCACTCAGCATAATGTCCTCCAAGTGCCTTCACTTTGTGCATTATTCTTTAGTGTTGCATAGTATTCCATTGTGTGTGTGTACCATAGTTTGGTTATCCATTCTTCTGTTGATGGGCACCTAGGTTGTTTCCATCTTTTGGCTATTGTAAATACTGCTGCGATGAACATGGGTGTGCATATGTCTGTTCTTGTCCTGGCTCTCATTTCTTTAGGACATATGCCAAGTAATGGAATGGCTGGGTCAAACCTGCAGCATTCTTGTCACTTGCCATCATTATAGTCAATCCTGTAATGGAATGTCCTCTTCCATAATCACAGTGGATTAGGACTAGTTGAAGAAATTAGAGCTATGTTTGTAAAGGAAATTTAAGTGTTTTATATATAAGGAACTCTGGTGGTACAGTGCCAAATGCATTTGACTGCTAATCAGAAGGTTGGCAGTTCAAACCCACCAGCTGCTCCGAAGAAGGAAGATGGGGCAGTCTACCACTGTAAAGATTTACTGCCTCAGAAACCCAATGGGGGTTACTATGAGTCAGAATCAACTCAATGGCAGTGAATTTGGTTTTTGATTTATATAAGGAGCTCTGGGGGCTCAGTGGTGCTCCACAGAAGAAAGACGGGCAATCTACTTCTGTAAAGATTTCCTGCTTTGGAAACCCAATGGGGGGCGCTATGAGTCAGAATATGTATAGAGTGATCGAATAATAGAACTGAGACCAAAACATATTAAATTGAACTTATTAAAATGTTTCCCTCTCTAAATTAATCTGAACTTTTTGCCTCTTCAAGCTAGTCTCTGAAGAACACAGCAACATCCTGGAGAAGAAGAATCTTGCTGAGGGTGATCTTGTTTCCTCCCTCTTCAAGACAGAATTACAGCTCTATGATGTAGTGTTACTCGGTGCTTCAAAACAGCCTGCCCCATAACGCTGTCAAGCTGCAAATTGTATCATTTGTCCTGTCAATGGGCTGGTTTAATTGCTATGTAACCCCAAATTTATGGAGCTTTATATCTTCTTTTGATTTAAATTATATATGTACTAATCATATAGTAGGTGGCTGATAAATATTTGTTAATTAATGAATGAAGACTTTCTGGTGGAAAATTCTGCACCATATCTGCTGTTTCAGATATATAGAACTAATTACTACCATATTTTTTATTGTTTCTTTTCCTTCAAAATCTTTAAAGACTTTAAAGATGATTCCAAGCCTAAATAGAAATAGAATAATAAATTAAGCTCCTGTATACCAATGATTCACTTTTGATAACTACTGATTCATGGCTATCATAATTGATCCCTAATTTCTAAATAGCTGCCCCTGCCCACATTGGATTATTCTGAAGCAACTCTCAGCCACGTTTGATTGCTTTAAATAACGACAGAAAATAATATTCACTAAGCAAATTCTAACAATATGAAATGCTGACACTAATAGGCTCTTTTCTATGTGCTTTTTCAATGCAGCTGGGCTTCGATCAGATTACTCTTTAACCATCGGATCTGGTAATTTATTTCATACTGTTCTCCACCCAAATCAGTGTTCTGTTTAGCTATTGTTGTTGTTGTTATTTTTAGCTGTTGTTTTCCTTTAAAATCATGAGATTATTTATTAGTGCTCTTTCAGTTGCAAGTGATAAAAATACACTCAAACTGGTTTAAGCACAAAAGAAACTTGACTGGTTCATGTGATTAGGGCATACATGGAGTGATGTGGCTTCCATCACTCCATGTATGTCCAACCCCTGGATGCATCCATGGTATAGGTGCAATGCCTAGATAACAACACCAGGACACTAAATCTTTACTTCTTAACTCTTCTTTCCTCTGTGGTGGACTCATTATCGAGCATGTTCTTCCAACCTAGTGGCAAAGATGGTCACCAGCCAGTCCTAGCTCATAATCTATCAGTTTAGTAACCACGATGGGGAAAAAAAAAAAAAAAAAAGATCAACAACATAAAAGTCCTATTTGCCTATAGTTCCTGCAGATGTACTGGGGCTGACTCTCATTGTCTTCAGCTGGGTGCATGCCCATTCCTGAACCAGTGTCTGGGCTTCTAATTTGCAAGTCTGGGTCATGTGCCCACTGCTGGAAGTAGGAGTGAGCTTCCCTCCAACCAAAAAGAATAGGACAGGGATGTTGTCTTAAAGTAAAATTTAGTTGCTGTTACCAGAAGAGGACAGAGTGGACCCTAGGCTGGCAAAGATAGCAGAAATCCCCCATATGACTTCTTTTACTCTTTACTTTTCAATAAAGATTTCTGGAAAAGTCATTCTTTTAAAAAAATTCTATCTTCACAGACAAAAGCTGCTCTCAGGACTTCTATGCAGATCATCTGTCTCTCCAATACCCTCTGGAGATTTTTGCAACTTCAGGGAGGCTGATGTGCCAGTTTAAGCTGGTGGCCCTAGTGGGTTATCTAATCCGTTTCTCGATTGAGTCCATCCAGATTGAAGCTGACAACTGTGTCACTGACTCCTTAACCATTTACGACTCCCTCTTGCCAATCCGGAGCACCATCTTATACAGGTATTATGCAGGACCTCTTGCATAAGAAGTCTTGGTGGGTGAAAAGTTTTTCCAAAGTCTCTATTTTGTAATAACAGGATTCTGTTGGACTTTTTTTTTTTTTAATTTTCATTTTACCATTGCTTAGTATAATCATAAGGTCAAAGACTGACCCATGCCCTATATGACCTCTTATATTAGCTAGAAGGAGCTCTGGTGACAAAGTGGATTGGCATGTGGCTACTAACCAGAAGGTTGGTTGTTCAAACCCACTAGCTGCTCTGTGGGAAGACGATGAGGCAGTCTTCTTCCATAAAGATTTACAGTCTTGGAAACTCAATGGGGGTTGCTATGAGTTGGAGAAGACTCAATGGCAGTGAGTTGTTTTTTTTTTGGAGGGAGGGGGTTTGTTTTTCACTTGTAGCAGACAAAATTAGTGCAACAAGAACTCAGCCAATATTTCTGAAATATAACAGATTTTTGTTTGATTTTACTTTTTATAATCACAACAATGTTTGTATTTTAATAAAGAGTGAAAATAAATACATCCACTCCTCACTAATTGACATGGTTAGGTTCCAAAGACCAGGCCTTTTTGCAAAAATTGGCATTATATGAAAACGGAGGATGAGAATATCAGATCACAGAATGGAGGATGACTACATCATATATAACTGCCCAATTATGTAACTGCCCAAGTATGTCATTACATAACTGCCAAACCACTGAGAATCATGGCCCAGCTGAGATAGTACATACCTTAACCATCACAGCCAGCTTTACTCTTACCTTGGACCTCTGAGTTTGTTGCTGCCAAGTGTATGTCATTAATGCACAAAGTAGTCATAATAGATTTTTTAATAATTTTTTAATAATGAAATGTTGAATAATGAAATAGTTGATAAGGGAAGAATAGGTGATGATGATAATGGTTGCATAGCATTAGTAAACAATTAAAAAATGTTTTCTTATTATACATATTCATTGTAAAAAGTGTAGTCAATCAGAGAAAACAATATTAATTACTTCCTAATTCTATTACCCAGGCTATTTTGGCATTAATCCTTTGATTCATATATATGTAATCATGCACACACAATAAACACACATACATATGCATGCACTAATACTTTTTACTTAAATCATAGGCATCTTTTGATGGGTGCTTAGTGCTTTGATTACCTAATAAATGATTGCCCAATCTTCCTTCCAAGGGGTGGCTGGTGAGTTTGAACCACCAGCCTTCTGGTTAGCAGTCAAATGCCTTAAGCACTACACCACCAGAGCTCCTTAATAAATGATAGGGTTTATTAAGTCTTCATTATTTGTTGCTTACTGTGCTAAACAGTTACATACACTATCTAATTGTTTTTATGATGTTTTATGTATACATGTATGTATTTTTTATATTTTGGTGATGGATGCAGATGGTAAAAATTCAAATAGCCAAAAGCAAATTTCTCTCCAAATCTGAATTTCTCAACCATTGTTATCTGATTCTTTTCATCCTTCCAGAGATACTTAGTTGTAATCTCTGATCCTTACCACAACAGTATGAAAGCCAAACTTGTTGTCATTGAGCTCATTCCAACTCATAGCAACCCTATAGGAAAGAGCAGAACTGCTCCATAGGGTTTCCAAGACTGTGAAGTTTATAGAAGCAGACTGTCAGATCTTTTTCCCATGACAGTAGCTGGTGGATTCAAAATGCTGACCATTTGGTTGGTAGCCTACTGCCCCACCAGGGCTTCTACAATGGTGTGAGGAATATATTATTATCTCTGGCATTTCATGGAAAGGCAAACTTGTGTGCAACTGGATTTTGTTATTTGATTGCTCAGGGCCTTTCAGCCAGTTAATGGCGGGGCTGAGTTTTGAACCAGTTCTGCTAAGTCTAGAACCCATAGTGTTAGCCATTGAATACCCTGCCTTTCTCCACCTTTAGACCTTGTGTGCTCTCAAGAAGGGTCCATTGATGTCCATCAGTCTTCAATAGTAGTTCCTGGACAAAAATTTCTGTGTCTATCAGCTCCCCTGTATTTGTAGTGCTGTGTGGCCACTCACTGATGAGGTCTTGGCTGACAGTGTCTCTGTTTCACAAGAACTATGAAGAAAGGAGTTCTGGTGTGGTGATGCCTAAGACATTTGACTGCTAACTAAAAGGTTGATGGTTCAAACCCACCAGCCATTCTGCAGAGGGAAAGTGGGACATTCTACTTTTGTAAAGATTTACCACCTTGGATACCCAACAGGGGTTGCTATGAGTTGGAATCAACTCGATGTCAGTGGGTTTGGATTTTTCAGTGTGAATGAAGAGCCATGAATTGAGAAAGAGCTAGGAACTGGAAATCAGTGTCAGATCAATGACCAGTCCTCAAATAACCTATCATTTGTGTTACTTGTTTTCAGAATCTGTGAACCCACAAGAACATTAATGTCATTTGTTTCCACAAACAATCTCATGTTGGTGACATTCAAATCACCTTATATACAGAGGCTATCAGGAATCCGTGCATATTTCGAGGTCATTCCAGAAGAAAGTAAGTATTCTCCAATTTAAAAATATCATCTTCAGAAATATTTGTAATGATACTTTAGTCTTATCTTTCCTGTTACTGTGATGTTATTCTAGTTGTATTAGAGGCCCTGACTCAGGGTCCAGTCAGAAGAGAACCATCCCATCAGTTGTTTTAACAGAGAATTTAATGTAAATAACTGTTAACAGCATAAGTTGTTAAAGAGGTAACTCAAAAGTCAAAAAGTACAAAAAAAAAAAAAAAAAAAACTCATTGTAAGATAGCCTAAAGGTAAAAAATATAGGAAGCTGCTATTACTCCTAGGGTTGGAGGAACAAATGAAAGAAATGGGAATTATTAACATGGAGGGGGTCTGTGGAGTGAAA